CCTCCTCCCTCCTCCCTCCTCTTTCCTCTCCGCACTCCTTTCCTCATCCGGCTCACCACGCCCTCTGCGCTCTCCTTCCCACTGACATCGCCTGGCTGGGTTGCAGGATTACGGAGGGAGAGAGGGTTTCGTTCCGGGGGAGATCCTTGTATGTCACGGTCAAGGTGGGAAAATTTGAAGAGGACACAGAACGATCTAGAATAATCACGTGCCGTGCCAGAGGATCCGTTCGTAAGCTCCGAGAACCTCCAAAGGTTCGTCGACAACCTCAAGGTCGATGAGCTGCTGCAGTGAAAGTCTCCTCCCCTCCTCCTGTTGCTCCTGCTCCTCGTGCTCCTTCTCCTGCTCCTTCTCCAGCTCCTCATGCTCCTGTTCTTTCTCCTCTCCTCCCTCCTGTTGCCTCTCCTCCTCCATCACCAGATCTTTTGCCCTTCCACTTCCCTTGCTCCTTCTCCTCCTGCTGCTCGCTGCTGCTGCTGCTGCTCCTTCTCCTCCTCCTCCTCGCCTGACCCTCTTCCTTTCCTCTGCCTCTTCATCCTCGGCTTCTCGCAGGCGAGGAGAGCATCGTTTCACATTGAGGCTTATCCGGGGGCACGACATGCATTCACGCGGTCAGGCGATGGATCCGATGGAGTTGACGTCTGACCCCAGCTCTGCCCTGCTAGACCTGAGAAGACCGACCCCTCCGACCTTGCAGCTGGGCTGTTCTACGACGAGGGAGCAGACAGGTGAGCTTCAGCTGGGGTTAGTTGCCAACGTCAGACGTTTGTGGTGTAGAGACTCGTGGGATCGGATGAAGCGACTTCTGGACCAGACGCTGAGGAGAGAATGAGGGGTGGGAATGGGGAGGAAGAGGAGTGGAGGAGGCGAGGAGAGAGGGGGAGGAGAGGGGAAGAGGCGAGGAGGAGAGGAGGGGGGGAGGAGATTTTCAAGCTGTGTAGGAAGAGGGATTGAGGGAAATGTGTATTAGTTTGTGCAGAAGGATGTGAGTCGCGACTCTAGCAAACATGTGCAAGTTAGACGTCACTTTCTGTCTTTTGCCCACGAGCAGGGAAACAAAGTTTTATGTAAGAATGTCTTCAAGGAGAGATGAACATTTCGATCCTGAGCGGGTCAATTCTAAGATCTGCAATGGCTCTTTGCTCATTTACACTCCTGTGATCTGAAGTCTCTTGGAAAGATGCGCAGAGAATAGCCTTGATTCGAGTCTGGAAACAAAAGCATTCAATGCTGAGCCAGCGGAGGAGAGGGAGGAGAGGGCAGGGCAGGAGCGAGGAGCAGATGTGAATGCAGAAAGCAGATGCAGAGCAGAGCAGAGCAGAGCGGAGCAGGTGCAGAGCAGAGCAGTGCAGAGCAGAGCAGAGCAGAGCAGAGCAGAGCAGTGCAGAGCAGAGCAGAGCAGAGCAGAGCAGAGCAGAGCAGAGCAGAGCAGAGCAGAGCAGAGCAGAGCAGAGCAGAGCAGAAGAAACGACGCAGCGAGCGAGCAAGAAAACAGGAACCTAGGCGATCCTGGCTATTCGAAGATGAAGGGGAGGGTGATGGAAGAATCTTGTCCTTTGGAGTCAAACTGAAGGTCTTTGAGGTGCCGCTCAATCTCTTTCAGGACACTCGCTCGAACTTCCTGCAGTTCGTGATGATGGTCAGATCATTTCATCTCCCTCGCAGCCCAACGAGATCATTCCTCCCTTACAACGCTGAGTTCACCTCCTCTTCCTCTTCTTGACCTCTTCCCTCCAATACTTCTGACATTCTTCCTCTTTATCTTTAACCTCTCAAGCTTCTCCCTTCCCCTTCTCCTCTTTTTCCTGCTCCCCCCTCCCCTCCTCGCCTCTCCTCCCTTTCTCCAACTATCTTTACGTTCTCCTTGTCCTCGAGCTCCACTGCTCCATCTCTTCTCCCCACCTCAACCCCCCCGATCACCTCTGGCGTGTTTCCCTCGATCAGGTCCAGCGGGTCCGCGACCTGACAGGGCAAGTGACCAACACGGTAGAGTGCGCAAGGGGTTGACCATGGTGTCGGCGACTGACGACAACTTCGTCACCCTCCCTGTCGCCCCGTCCACGTCAAGCCTGACGTTCAGGACGCCTGCCAGCAAGCCTGAGGTGACAAACAAGGAGGAGGGTTGGCAGGATGTGGGCAGAGAAGCAGGGGAGATGAGGGGGGGAGGTGAAGGGAGGGAGTAAGGATGAATGGGAGGGAGTGATGGAGAGAGGAGAGGAGACGAGAAATGGAAGAGGGTAAAGTGGAGTGGAGGAGAGGAAGAGTGGAGGGATGAAAGCAGATGGGAGGACGAGGACGAGGACGAGGACGAGGACGAGGAGCAGGACCAGGACCAGGAGCAGGAGCAGGAGCAGGAGCAGGAGCAGGAGCAGGAGCAGGAGCAGGAGCAGGAGCAGGAGCAGGAGCTACCGATGACGCGGCTGCATTTGTTCGCCAGGGAGTCATAAAGTGGCTGGAGCGCCTCGTTCAAGACCTCCGTCGCGGATTCTTCTGAGATTCCTCCTGCTCCAATCTCACTGACTGCGGCAGCGTACCGCTCCTCATTCACCCTCGTAGAAGGGCGTCCCCAGGTCTGTGAACCAGCCGTGCAGCACCAGCCGACTCTTCCTGCTCTTTCCAGGTCACAACAGGGCTCTGAAGGGTTTCCTCCTTCCCTTCACCCTCCTGCTCCTTCCTCCCTCGTGAAACTTTTGCTGCTCTCCTCTCTCTCCTCCCATTCATCTTTCTGTTCTCTGTCAATGTAATATTTTCTACCCGTCCTCGCCATTGCTCTGTCTCCGCCTTCGGTCCCTCCTCCCATCTTACTCACCGAGGATCTTTCGTTCCTCGCACTGCCCTCACTCCATGAGGGATTCTCGGATCAAAGAGCGTCAGCCTGTTGAAATGCGGCTCCACCTGCAGAACTCGCAGTCAAACTCAGGCGTCGCAAGAGCAGGATGAAAGGCAAAGCGTTGTGGGGAAATGGAGGACGCGCGAAGGAGGGAGGAGGGGGACGCGGGAAGAGGATTGAGGAAGAGGAGGCAAGAATAGCACCGTGGACATCAGCTTGTCCTCCTCTAGTCCAACTTTTGGATCGAAATTCCTCCAGTAGTCCAGAGCGAGAGACTCCATAAGAAACGTCTCTCCTCCCGTGAACTCCCGCTCCTCCCAGTTGGTCAGGGACAGGACGTATGCAAAGGGCCCATGCCAGCTGTCCGTATGCATCCTCTGCTCGCACCCGTCCACGTAGTAGGAGAGCCATGGCTTCGTGATCGAGTTGCACCCGAGGTGCTTCTGCCCGAAGTCCGTCAGTGCCGATGTCAAGCGCTCGTACTGAGCAGCGTCGAAATAGTCTTCTGCCGAGGTCCGGATGAGCGTGTACTGAGAAGGCACATGCCAGTAGTCCCACACAAACCTCTTGATGTTGGTTGATCTTGGCTCGAGAAAATTCTCGTCGAAGGTTCCTCTCAGGCTCTCAGCCAGGTCAGGAGCAAGGAAATTGTCTTGAATGACCAGATGCCGGGGCAAGCTCTTGGTCAAGGCAGGGGTAGCCTTGCTTCCTCCCTTTCGCACGCTCTTTCTAGGAGAGGCGGATGACATGGATAATGAATTTCCACCTCGCCCTGTTGTGGGAGCCCCCAGACGAGGTCGAGCATGGAGTAACCCGCGGGTCGCTGACCCCTTCGCAAAGGGGCTACAAGTCATGAAGGCTGCACTCGATGGCTTGCTCGCGTCATGGCGCCAGCAGGACGGGCTGGAGCTTGTCAGTCGAGCTTGAAGGCAGCTGGGCGAGCACAGGGCGAGCAGCGAGCATGCGCCGCTCAACGCCCTGCCTCCTCCGCACCCTCTCCTCCGCATTGCGACCACTCGCGATCCGGCCTAACGGTCAGGAAACGGACAAACAACTTAGTAACGTATGCAACCGTCTTTTTCACCACTTTATATGGAAGTCGTGCAACAAATTTGAGGGTGGGGTACTAACAAACCGGTGTATCGTCGGTGATGTCTGTGAGAAATCGGGGGTAGGGTTATGAATTTGAGGGGTCCAAACCCGGCAACACATAAAAACCATGCAGCGGAGGTTTGGGTGGGCTGGTGCGACCTTGTGGGTTGTCATGGCGGCACTGGCGTGCGAGGAGGCAGGTTGCCTGGATGCCAGGCGAGTCACTTTGAGTCTCCCGCAGATCGACATGCTCAAGGACGCTGTCTTGAGATGCCAACCCCGGCACTCAGTCGATGCCCGCGGGCTGTCGCTGCGAGGAGGAGCACAATCGGACATCATTGAGGAGGCGTTCAAGGAGATGAAAGGGGAGGTGTTCACTAGAAACGACCCTGGAAAGTTCAAGGGGAAGGAAGACAAGCACGTCCCCGTCCTCTCACGTCACGACGACGGGGTTCGAGTTGAGGTCATGCACGTAATGGATGAAGACGGCCCGGACACAACGCTGCACTACATCAGGTTGATCTGGATCCAGGATGCTGACAGTGGAGACATCCTCGATGCAAAGTTCCTGACTGCTGACATGGACTCAGCTACCGCAGACTTCAAAGGAGACTACCAGAATAGGAAGCTGGTCGCTTACGCTACATGTAACCTTCATGGCACCTGGGCCAGTGAGGCTAGCTCGAATTGAAGCGAATGATTCACAGCATTGTATTTGAGATGATGCTTGTTGATGGCACGTTCGAGTCATTGTATCTCAGCCTATTCAAAGGTTTAAAGAATTTAGCAATACAAAGTATATCATCGCACACTGTAACTTGAGATCCAACCAACTAAACTTCACGACAATCCCAATGCCCTCAACTGGAAGAGATTCCAGAGAATCCCAAGCCTCGTCGTTTGCGAGGTTTTCTATCTCTTGCTCCCGATGGTCGGCCGAGCTTCTTGCGACAGGCACACTGCCCGTTCATCAGGCACGCTGTTCCCACAGACATGGAACAGTTGTCGCAAAGCACCTTGGAGTGTGACATCTGCTCTTCCTTGGTCCAGAAGCTCACAGTCGCATGCACCCAAGTCCGTTTGTTCCAGATGTCTCGGATAGTCTTTGGGCTCACCCCATACTTCGCTCCCAACAGCTTGCTCGTCCTGGTGACTTTCCGTTTCCCCGAAGGCATCGCACAGAAAATGACCTTTGCGTCCTCCACGTCAAGCCCGCCTTTGGCCCGTGCACTTGAGTGCTCCTCGTTATGATTCGCTGTGCTCTCAGACGACGAAGACATGCCTTGATCCCCTTCTTCGTCCGTGTCTTGGCCATGGATGCTAGGGACGACCGCCACGGATCCTCGTTGCTCCTCAATGCCCTCTACGTGCTCGAGAGCTTCCTTGAAGAGCTGCTTCATGTGCGGATATCTAGCTCCTACGTTCTCAATCATGACCTCTGGATTGATGTAACGATGCCTTCAATGCACGAGAAGATATCTGAGGCTTCCGATTGTTTTCGGGATACTTTCCAAGTCCTGCCGCACATCAAGTGTCAGGCGATGCAGCTGAAAGTGATGTACGCAGGACATGCATGAAAACACAACAATGTGGTCGTCATGAATGTTGAATATCATGAATGTTGATCTCATACAATCAAAATCTATTGTGGGAGTGCAATCTATCAGGATGCAATTCCGATCCAAGAAGGCAACAAAGTTCGAGTGGAAAAACAACTGAGCCACGGACCATTTGATCTGGTGATATTTGGACAAAACAGATGCAGAGGGAATGAAATAAAATAAAAATGCTTGTCTACGATCGAACTCAAAGGTAAAGTTCCAGACATCAAAGTGCAAGGAGACAAGTTGCAGGAAGACGCAAAACACTCTACCTAGATGGGCGTGGGCTCGTGTTGAAATTATCCTTATCAGGTGAATACGAAGTGCAGGAGCAAGAGGTTGATGAGGGAGTAGAGAGAGCCAAGAAGGAGGAAGAGAGTCAGAGTTCAGCAAGGCAAGGGGGCGAAGCTTGGAGGACGGCAGTGTAGCGGGTAGAAGGTGGCATCGTTTCCGTACCAAGGAAAAGGAGGCCGATATCGTTTCGAGGGGGTAGGGGTACTTTACTAAACGAGATGTACCCCTACGTTTCCCGGGAATTTGGGTGATGTTTGGGGTACAGGTGTGTAGTATTGTTAGAATCGCAGGGGTACCCTAAAAACAATTGTAACACCATCTGTAAAGAATCGGAGCACCCCCACGGAGATTTTGTGGACGCACCATGTAAATTGGGGGGGTGAGGATAATTTCAGATGGGTAGATTTCAACGATTTTTGTGGGAAAGACGGGGTACTAACGACGCAAAGGGGGGTACCACAACTTTTGGGAGGGGTACCATTTTTGTATTTTCTTATGTGTATTGACACGGCCCAATGCCTACCCCCAATATGACTGGAAAACTTTCAGGGGTAGGGTACCCTGCAGGGGGATCATGTTTCCTGAAACGATGTGAAAACAAAACCTTTCGGAGGCCAACAGTGGCATGGTCCGCCATTGATTTGTTCAAAGTTTCCCCTGCGGTGGAAAATTCCCTCCTAATTTTCAAAGTTACATCAGTACCTGAATTCTCCCAAAGCGTTTCACTACCCCTGCCTCGTGAGGCTTTAATTCAGGAATTTCAGTTTCAAGTTTCCTCGCTGACCGTTGAAACGGACAAGACCGACGTGACGCCATGGACGCCTCGTCCCCGCCCTCGCCCCTGCCCCCCTCCCTTTTACTCAAAGTTAAGTCAAAATCAGTACGAGGACAATCAAGGAGAGTGGAGGCGGAGGAGCCTTGAACGTCGGACACACAGGTGGCAACAGTATCCGCCGTGAGGCCGGACTTTCGATGCGGCCGGTTACTACGTGACCGTACAACAGCGGAGACCAGTGGCATCTACTACTAGGCCGGGCTGGCAGTGGAAGAACGATCTCCCCGTTTGGAACAGCCAACGGGACATGAGAGATGTCTGCACTGCCGCAAGTCGCAGGACGGCGAAAGCGGCCGCGCCAGCACAAGGGATATGCACCTGGTCAGTTCTCCCACAAGTGGATAGGTTGCGGCCGAGTATCCGACCCTTACTGCCGCGAGTGGAACACGGCTGGACGACAGTGCTTATCCGACTTGTCTTTCCTTCTCCAAACCCGTCGCTGTTGGGTCTGTCGACCCATGGCTCACCAACGGAATGATTGGCGGAGGCATCTACCAGAACATGCTTGTTAGGGACGGACCCTCTGTGCACAAGTCTGAAGTCCACCCGGACAGGCACTTTCTCTTTCACGCTGAACCCATCACTGACTCTACTGCCCTCCTGGCCTGGCAGAGCCCGCAACGTTCGTAGGATTATTCCTCCTACGTCGTCCACCCGGACAGGCACTTTCCATTCAGCCCTCAAAAATCACGTGCAATTGCCCGTTGAGCTGTCGTGAGAAGGCTTATCAAAACATGTTCGGGGGTGCGAGTTAAAGCATCTTGTCCTCCACCTGCATCTCTCTGACTGACACGCGGGCATGGTTGCACTCGTTTTAGTCATCCTCCTCCTCCTCCCTCCTCCTCCTCCTCCTCCTCCTCCTCCTCCTCCTCCTCCTCCTCCTCCTAATTCTTCACAGAGGCTGTCGCATTGCCATGCACGCGAAGGTCGCACGCTAAGGAATGAGACGAACCGACGACAGCACGTCGACCAGGTGTCCTGCAAGCCAGAAGATGCCACGTCATCGAGAGCTCGAGAGCTTCAGCTCAGGTCTCACCCCGGTAGTCCACGAACCCGTTGGCCATAGCAGAGATCCCGACGTCCTGCAGGAGAGCATCACGAGCGTGACGGGAGCTTCGGAGCCCCGAGGCCCAAGACCTTCATGTCAACATCCTCCAGCTCTTCGTCCAGCAGCGGGCATGACCCGTCGGTGTCTTGCCGGCCGCTCACCTGCAGGACCATCAGCAAGGCAGGCGATGGGACGAGGACACAGACAAGGCCATGGAGTGCTCGACTGATGATCGTCTGGACTGACTTGTCCGACGAGTGGTAGCAGTTCACAAACCTCCCTGCCACGATAGCTGAGGGATCCCTCAGTAACCAGAGTCAGCTGGAGAAGAGCTGGGCAGACCTCGCGCCTCGCGCCATGAGGACTCGTCGTAGGTGGAGGGCATGCCTATGAGATGTTCAGCTGCACATTGCAGGAGACAACCGTACCGATGAGGTAGACTTCGTCTACCAGTCCGTAGGAAGCTGTCCGGGCCAACTCGATCAAGGCAGAGAGTATCGTGCTCGCGCCGAAGCCGAAGCCAACCTAAGAGACGATCAGAGCAAGAGAGCTCAGCTACATGCGCTTACAAGCGTGATGGGCCGAGAGCTTGCAAGGAGGAAGGGAGATAGAAGGAGCAAAGGTCGTGAACGGCCTTCACTCACAGCATGTTACTCTCACCTCCCATGTTTGCGGATCGTGAAAGCAAGCTGCCTTCCCGTCCCCTTCGCTTTTTCCGACAGCAAGCTCACGGGATCCTTAGAGTAGCGTCAGGCTGTTACTAGAGTCTGCGCGCAAGAGGCTAGGGAGGAGGCAGCCTGGTACCTGTAAGACAGCAGACCGTACCACAGATCGAATGCCTTGACGGTATCGGAGGAACACAGAGGAAAGGTCCTTGCTTCCGTAGACTGTCTTTCCCACCTCCTGCTGAAGTCCAACTTCCCACCTCAGTGCGCACCATTCGCGCGTCACTTCCGTCCTCCCGCTCCTCTCCACGAGCTGGTTGATGGCCGTGCTCCAGAGCTCGCACACTTCCTCCTGCCCAGCCAGCCAGCCACTCACAAGAAATCCGCATCGAGCAAGGGTCCTGCTGGGCTCGCACACAGGGCGGAGGCAAACCTCGTTTGCCTCCTGCACGCCGTCTCCTGCAGCATTCATGGCGGCCTTGACCGTTCCTGGTGCAGGAGAAGCATGGAGAGGAAGAACGAGCACGAGGGGGAGGAGGGAGGAATGAGAAGAGAGTCAACGGAGAGCACAGAAGAGCAGGAAAGAGTGGAAAGAGCGGAGGAGAGAGCAGGAGAGTTCGGAGAGGGAAGGAGAGGAGAGAGGTAAGCGCCGATCCAAGATTCTCATCACGAGCATACCATGGAGAGTCTTGAGAGGGCGGAGGGTTTCCATCAGCAGGTTGGACTTGCCCCGGGAAGGCTCCCCATCGATCATGGCGAGCACTCCAGCGCCCAACGCTCTCATAGCGACTCTCCATCCCTTGGATGGCCCAGAGGGTCGAGAGGGGAGACCGGGGAAGGGGCGGGGAGTTCTGTCGCGCTTGCTGCCCTGCGGCCCTTCCCCCTCCAGCTGAATGCTGTCCATGTCCTGAGAGATGCACGTAATGTACGCCGCAGACACTGGGAGGATGGGGTCAGATCCTTGGAGCTGCGCTCTGTCTCACCGAGCATGCGATCCTCCCACAAGCGGACTGCGAGGATGTCGAGGTCCAGGGAGGAGGAGAGGGAGGACAGTACTTCCTGCCAACGAGCATCCAACCTGCAGGAAAGATTGAGAGAGGAAGTGAAGGGGGAAAGGAGCGGGAGAGAGAGGGAGAGAGAGGGAGAGAGAGGGAGAGAAAGGAAAGAAAGGGAGGAAGAGGAAGGGAGAGGGGAGCAAGTAGATAGTCAGTGAAGGCAATGGCAGGGAAGGGAAGGGAAGGAGAAATGAATTCTGACTAGGAGGAAAAACCTTCCATTGGAACACACGAAGAAAACCAGGATTTGGAGCAGCTACGAAGAGAGAACATGCCATCATGTCATGATATCGTGGAAGAGGAGCAGAGAGCAAAGAAAATCGGGGCAGAGGGGGAGAGAGACGGGAGGGAAACAAAGGAGAGGAGACAGAGGGAAAACCTTTTCCCTTGTTGTTCGTGGAAGAGATTGCAGGCGGTTCAAGTGATCTCTCACTGCGACAACATCAGAGTCTCCCATGACACGAAAGCTATCACCTCGACGAAGCTCCTCCTCCTCTCCCTGCGCCCCCTCCTCCCCTCCCCCCTCCTCCTCCTCCTCCTCCGAGCTTCCAAGAGTTATCCCCCACACGTTGATCATCATTCCTCCCAGCGCTCGAAGGTTTTCCTCCTGAGCATCGCCCTCATGGCTCATCTCTTGCTCGACAGCCCAGGTATCCTCCTCCTCCTTCTCTCCTCCCTCCCCCTCCTCCTCTGCAGCCCTTGACCTGTCTCCGCCGCCCTTGTCTGCTCCCCACCAGGTGACGACCGACGGAAAGTCTCGCGTCCTGCGTTGGATCGTGCGGGGGGAGGGAGAAATGTTCCACCATGTCACTATCGACGGGAGGCCCTGGGGGTTGCAGGATGACCGTGGGGGCTGCGAAGGAGGAGGAGGAGACGCAGCGGAAGCTGCGAGACCCTTGAAGGTATCAGGAGGAAGAGCGAAGAAGTCCTGTGCCAGAATGAGTAACAGGGCAAGAGTAGTGGGGAAGGAAGGGGGGGGGGGCAAAGAATGTTGAAGGAAATTGAGGGGAGACGGGAAACTCAAATTGACCCTGAGACAAAAGAGGAGAGGAGGAGGAGGAGAGCACAAGAAGAGCAAGGAGGAGCAGGGGAGGAGCGGGAGAGGAGACAGGAGGCAACCATGTGGATTGCAAGAGGCAGGAGGAGGAAGGGAGGAGATAGTTGGGGCAACCTGCATGCGCTTGAGCTCTGCTGCAATCCAAGAAAGCTTGCTGGCCCTCCGTCTCCTCATCAACGCACAGAGAGTCTGGCCCGCTAGCATGCACAGGTCCAACCTCATCAGCAGCGTGACTTCAACGTTGTCTTGCAAGCTCTTCGACTCGCTCTCCTCCGCCTCCTCCCTCGCGGCTGTTCTCTTCCTCATGACTGAAGTTGTGCAGCAGCCGATGAGCTCGGAGAGGATCTTGACCTGGAGGCAAGACGTCTGAGTCCATCTGTGCTATGGCTTCACTCCTCTCTGCATTGCTCACTGCGAACGATCCTTACCATCTCAAATCCAGATATACCTCTGTGTATCTACATCGACATCAACGTCTACATCAACGTCTACATCAACGTCTACATCAAAGTCTATGTCGATATCGACATCAACGTCTACATCAACGTCTACATCAACGTCTATGTCGACATCAACATCGACATCCTCTCTGGATCTCTTCACAAGAACACGGCCTCGCCCTCTCTACTCATCCCCCTCAAGCATCCACAAGCAAAATCACCAGCATCTCATTGGCCCTTGGCCTCCACCGCACACACGGGCGAACCCCCGCCGCTTGCAACGCTTGCTGATCGCAACGAGGTCAAACCTTCAGGTTCCTGCGAGCCACAGCAGACAAGATGTACCAGCAGAGTTTCGTTGAGCGTCCTCCACAGTGCCTTGAGCTCCTGCAAGTCCGACGACAGCGCAAGTACGTGCTTCTCCTTGGACCGGACGAGGATCCTGAACCTGACCTGCATTGAGCATGAGGGTTTGCAGCTCAAGGAACTGAGAGCTTACTGGATCTTTGTTCCAGATCGACCTGAAGATCCCCTCGAAGTGCTCGTAAGGCAGGATACTGCTAACCTGCGTCATGTGATGCACGGCCTCGGATTGAGAACCTCTCTTCCAACGTCAAGAAGTCGTTCGACTCCATCACGCGCCATAACACACTTGGAGGGAGGGGAGCGTCAGAAAGCTCAACGTGGATGAAATGCTCAAGGCAAGGATTGCTCACTTGTTGGAGGAAGGGATGGGTTTGATCCAGAGGTTGCTCGTTGGAACAATGTCTTTGCAGATCTGTCCGATCATCCTTGAGTGATCACACGTGTGTGCCTTGAAAGCACATGCTTGTTGGTTTTTATCATACCTGCCAGACTTTGACAACAAACGAGCTGATCGACCTCCGAGCAATCGGGACTATCCAGATGAGCTTGTAAGCGCGAAGTCTTCAAGGTTTGGAGAGAGACCTTCATTGTCATGCTCGAAGATGTATGCTGCGGTCAAGCAATCAATCTCACGACCAACTGTCAATCGACAAGGCTTCACCGGCCTCGAAGAGACATCTGACAGCGGAGAAATTATCTTCGTACCTGCGCAGCTTCACATCACGACCGACGCTGGCAACAGACAAGAGACAACAATGTAGACGTCATCTGCAGGAGAGGGACAACTTTGTTCTCGAGGAATCTCCATTCTTCATCCGCAGACTCTGCATCTCATCATTACCCCATCCCAACCTCTACCCACCTGAACCGTTCCACCCGCCTCCTCACCTGCCGTTGCTGCCTCTGCCACCTTCGTCCGATGCTGTAGGACCGTCGTGTCACATCAAGTCAGAGGAGGAGCTGCCCCTACCTTATCAGCCAGGAGGATTTGGTACTCACAAGTCCCTGAGCGCAGGTGGCGCCTCACAGAAGCAAGCATGTTCCTGGCAGCACCGTCAACCAGCTCCTGCAGGAGGGTCAGCAGCGTACCTGAGATAGTCCGGAGCTCGGTGCGACCGGTGCCTCTGCATGACAAACACAGAGCTGCTGCAGGGGAGGGGTCAGAGGAGGATCTTGCAACTGTGCCTTTCAGCTTACGATCTGACGTCCTCCCATGACAAGGAGTTTGACCCCCCTGAACCTTCGGGCCTGACCCACGGCATCGCAGGTTCCCGCCCTCACCAGCTCCTCGTCGTCTGTCCCTGGACATTCACATAAATTTCGTGGTCGGGCAGAAAGAATCAGTTTCTGATCCTTGGTCCCGAAATTATTGACTCCTTGTGTTGCTGGCCATGCCCCATGATCGCTATGTTTCCTGCTCCTGCCCCTACTCCTGCTCCTGCCCTTACTCCTGCTCCTGCTCCTGCTCCTGCTCCTGCTCCTGCTCCTGCTCCTGCTCCTGCTCCTGCTCCTGCTCCTGCTCCTGCTCCTGCTCCTGCTCCTGCTCTGGATGTTGATCTTGATCTCGATACTGAGACTGAGACTCATACTCATACTCATACTCATACTCATAATGAGACTGATACTGATACTGATACTGACACTGACACTGACACTGATACTGATACTGATACTGATACTGATACTGATACTGATACTGACACTGACACTGATACTGATACTGATACTGATACTGACACTGACACTGACACTGATACTGATACTGATACTGATACTGATACTGATACTGATACTGATACTGATACTGATACTGATACTGATACTGATACTGATACTGATACTGATACTGATACTGATACTGATACTGATACTGATACTGATACTGATACTGATACTGATACTGATACTGATACTGATACTGATACTGATACTGATACTGATACTGATACTGACACTGACACTCTCTTTCTCTCATCTCCTGTCCTCGCCTAGTCTCCTCTCCCCATTGCCCCCTTGGCTGAAGTTTGCGAAGGAGGAAAAAAAATTAAAAAAAATTAAAAAAACAAGACAATTTCACGGCCCGCCTCAGGTGTCTGTATGTGTGGGGATGAGGGGCCCCAGAAGCTGTTCAGGTGAAACGCCGCTCGGTAGTCATTCCCGATGGCGGGGAGGCAGACGGGGGGGAGGGGAAGGGACAGCAGGAGGCAGAGGAGAGGAGGGGAAACACTAGTGAAAGGAGGAGCGAGAAAGCGGGATGGGAGCTGCTGAGAGAAGGGAGGAAGTTGATATTTGTCTCACTTGTCCAGTAGAGCTGTGACGGGAGCAATGCTTTGAGTGACGATCGGATAATGAATTTTTTTGTTTAGCGAGATTGTGGGATGGGGGAATGACTAAACTTTCAACTATGATGAGTTTCATTTTGTGAGCTCCTGCGAATGTTCCAGTCCTAGATGATTGCTTGGGCTGTTCTGCTCATTCGACTGACTTGCAGCTGATGTCGCGTGTTGAAGCTGACTTTCAAGCTTTCTCCACAGATTCATCGACCCTACAAGGCCAACATGCTTGAGAATTGCATGATAGCAAGACGGGTAATGGCCTCACCATGTTCATAGATCCATCTACACTGTTGCCGCATTCTGACCTTGTGCTGCGACCGCAGGCAACGTGACATGAAACTGTCATGGCGTCCAAGTGCTGCAGCATGGGAGCTGCTGCCTGCAAACTCTAGGCAATGAGACCACCGTCATTAGCTGCGCTGCTAGAGGCGTTCGGACTCAGAGATGAGTCGGGAACGCGAGGCTGTTTCGATCCTCGACATCAGCAACTCGCCCCTGACTGTTCGGATGCACGCTGCAGTGGGCGAACATGTCGGCAAGTAAGGAACGAGAGCGAAGAGCATCAGGAGGCAGCGAGCACTCCCTGCGAGTCATGCCATGGCTCTGATGATCCACGGCACGTAAAGAGCGGGATTCATGTCGGAAGATGCTGCGGTGAAAGGGAGGAATGTGATAGAGGATCAAAGTTATGTCAGATGAAGCGTTCCCGGCCAGACAGAAGACGTCTGAGATATGGAGGATCAGGACTGCGAAGCCAGAGGCACTTCCTTGGGATACAGGCATGTTTGTTTCTCACTCTTGTGGGGGAGGCCACAGGTTGGGTCTCCCTTTCGGATCAAGGGTACATCATCAAGAACAACTTGCTAGCAACAGCTGGAGCGAGGATTGAAGGAGAGCTCAGGGTGAACGGTGTGATCATCTCTCAGCCCGTGGACAACATCGAGTGCACAAAGGATCAGATGGGAGCTCTTCGATGGAACGACCAATACTTCGAGAGCTGCAACGGGGTGGACGATTGGCAGCCTTTGAGGTTTTGCGATCGATCCTGTAACGTCAACACTCTAGCCGTCCCTTGCGGACTCCCAGTGAACAATGGTTGTGGCGATCAGTGCAACCAGGTCGGCTCAGGTTTGAACATGAGACAGTGCATTTTGAAAGTTTCCGCCACTCCCTGCAATGTCCCAGTGTTCGATGACTGTAACAATACTTGCGGCATTATCGGACAGTTCGGTTGCGATGCGTCGGAGAAGAAGTACGGTGCTGTGCTAGTAAAGAGCTTGGAGGACTCGACATCAACCGCGGCTTACGAATTCACAGTTGGCTCACCCAATGCTGTCGCCCACAAGGACTCTCTGTTCCTCACATACAAGAACATTGGAGGAATCAGCAAGGCGCTAACGATGATCCGCAACATCGACATGTCACTACACGGCGAGCTGATTAACGGCATTGAGTTTGCAAAGCCAGAGGGTCAGTGGAATGCCACAATGCGGGTGAACATGCTTTCAGAGCTCAGAGGAGACTACATCCAGGTCGGGAGGGATTCGACCAACAGTCAGGTCTACTTCGACGGAGTCATTGACAAGGAATGCCCGCTAATTCTGGACGGAGGTGTGAATGACGGCATGTATACCAAACTCTGCCTGGAGACTCCCAGTCAGCAGCGGTCGATCACCTTCCCTGATCGCACTGGCCTAGTCATCACGTCGGGAAACCGTGAGGATATCGATCAGCTCCCAGGGTTGCGCGGAGACGATACTTTCGTGTATACTGGGAGGCACAAGGACCTTGGGAACATCATTCCTCCACCACCTTCACGTTTCTCTTGCTCCAACACGACCTGCTCCAATGAAACTTTGGACATGAACTTCTTAGACTGTCGGGGGCTGAACTGGAACCTTACCACATTTGACGCGTACCGAGTTTACTACCTGCTGAGTGACTTCTACAGCGACACAATACACGCGAGCACTGCCACCCGTGACATGCTGGCAAGTCTATGGAAACTCATTCAGTCGCACAATGTCTCCACTCCTTGGAATGGAAGGAATGAGCTGGCGAAGTTCTTCATCGAAGCATCAGTACAGAACGCAGACCTCCCGAGCATCTTCACTAGAATCGCAAACCAGTACTCGCCAGAACACACCTGGAAGAACACCTTTGCGAGCGTCACAACCCTTGAGAGGTGCTTCGTTTGCTGCTGCAGCGTCCTCACGCCTGCAGCTGTCAACCAGAAGGTTTGCCCGGCGCGGCGATCGCGGCCTCAGTTCTGCGTTGGGGGCTCAAGGAATGGCGAGATATGCAAGAGCTCTGATGAGTGTACGGATGGGGGGGCATGTGTGAACGATCCCTCGCTTACCTGCTACGAGCACGACTTCGGCTTCCGATGCATGGACCTGTCGCAAGTACCCAACTTCACCACCACAGTGAACTTCACTGAGCCTCAAAGGCCTCGGACGCTGGTGATCCCGGATGCCAGCGGCACCATCGTGACGACTGGCAACCTTGAGGACATCACCGCCATGGGCGTTCTCTCGGCCGAGCTCAAGGGCTGGTCGAGCTACGAGAGCACGACCGCGCTCAAGTTTGAAAGATGTTACGACGGCACGTGCGGGATCCAACAGGTCAGCAGCAAGCTGGCAAACAACACCTTGTCCGTGCCTTCCTTCGTTGACGGCGACCTTTTGACTACCGGGAATCTTGACAAGATCAGCTTTGAGTCCGGCAATGTATCGAGCCTGCGAGTGCAGAATGACATGCAGGTCAACGGCCTTTTTGAGTTCGGGCCCGACAAACTCAAATCCGGTGTGAGGCTTCCGCCAAGGGAGCCCAGCAAGCACTACCTCTACCCGCACGGAGGCCAGCGGGCCGGATACACCTACGATGCTAGCAGAGGGCCGGGTCAACTTAACGTCCTCACTTCCACGTCCACTACCGTGTTGGAGTTCGAGCCCTCGAGCCCCACGCTGAAGATGGACCCCGTGTCGAGGCTGGTGGTTCCCTTCGTCGACGGGACAGTGCTGACGACAGGGAACCTGGAGGGGATCACGAAAGACACGGGAACTCTGACGAGTGTGTTTGTCAGTGGCCCCTCATACATCAACCAAGGGTTCCAGGTATCCAACGACAGCAATAGGGATGCAGCGATTTTGAGTGTGAGGCCGAGGATGAACGAGACTATCATCTTTCAGAACCCCTACGATTATGTCGGTTCCTTCAACGGGACTGCGTTCACGACTCGAGAGGCCTCCAGGACGGTCCTCAAGTTCGGCACCCAGTCGCAGCGGAGATCTTCGATGCAGTTCCCTGACGCCAGCGGCCGAGTGATCACGACAGGAAACCTGCAGGACATCGATCATTTCGTAGGACAGAACCTCAACGTGAGCGGCAAGGCGTTCTTAGACGGGGCGGTTGTCCTTGGCTCGAACCGGTCGACCCTGGTCAACTTCGTCGGCTACTTGTCAAGTGACATCGTCGTCCGGTCAGCCCCTCGATTCGAAGCTGCTGAGGATCAGTTCAATGACGTCCCAAAGCCATTCACCTGGGGCATCCGCCCCAGGACAAGCTGCGTCAACGACGTGCCTGGGCCGCTCATGGCCAACCCGTTCATCGACTTCCCGGAGTACAAGAAGTACAACATCACAGGCTCTGCTACGCTCTGGATCGACACCACTGACAACTGCCTCCAGCAGTGTAAGAGGTCGGATCCGACGTGCGGACTGGTGCTCGCCTCTCGGTACTACAGGGTTCAGATGAAGGACGGCAACGGAAACAATCTCATCGTCACCAGTAAGAGCTGCCCAATATCCCAGTGGTATCTGAGGTCAGACTGCCAAGTGCTGCGGCTGGCCCAATCCAGCAGCTCCCCTTCCGACCCTCTGACTGAGTTCGAGCTGCTGCCCGTCAAGTGTGGAGGGATCCCCTGCTGGGACATCAGCCTGTGCCCCCTCGATTCGAAGACGTGTGACGTCATCGTCCAGAGTCATTCGACCAGGAAGTTTCTCTCCTCGGGACGTGGAACTACTTTCTGTGGTAGCGCAACGTCCCAGTTCTGCTCAGGATGGTCGGACAGCCCGTCCTTGTGGAACGCCAACTTCAACAGCGACAAGACTTACTACCTCACCCGAGTGTCCACCTGCCTTGAGCTGCCTGCCAACACTTCTCAACTCGCCAATATCACCTGCGACGGCCCTGGTGGAGACTCGATCTCGAGCATCAGCTTCGTGTCTTGGGGAGAGAACGTCGACGGAGTTTGCGGCCTCTACAACGCCAGCACAAGGAGCTGCGGCAACGCGACAGAAATCGAGGCAGCGTTCAAGGATCTCTGTCTCGGCGCTGGCTGCACCGTCGCTCTCACCAAGGATGCCCTTACCCTGCTCAAGATCGGCACGGCAAGGATCAAGAGCTTCTCCAGGTCCAGCTGCGATCCAGCAGTCAGCAGGCTGGCGGTCCAGGCCAAGTGCTCAGTTCCTCCGACCTTGACTGTCGTCAAAGACTCTTCACTCGGGGCCGTTACGGTCGACACGCCGGGGTCGCCGGTCAAGATTTCTTTGACCTCGTATCGACAGGGGGATCTGTTGAACAAGATCTCGCGCGAGTGCCTTCTGGCCTACTCGAGCGCCACCGACTGCTGGCTGCAGAAGGACGAGCAGTTTGACGTTCACTTCTACATGAGGAACGAGGCGACTCGCCTGTCCTTCTCCATCCCAACGGGAACGCGCAAGATCGAGCTGCCGGAGGCCAATGGCACCATGATCACGAGCGGGAACTTGGAGGACATCAATCTCCTGCTGGGCCTTCGAGGCAAGAACAACTTCATCTTCCAGCATGGTGGACAGCCTGGCGATCCTGTTACCATTGTTGACTTTGCAGCGCTGGGAACTGCTCCACTCACGCGAGTTGACGGCGTTCTGCCATCCTACTCGGCACCCTACGGGATGATCAACCAGGTGCCGCTGGGGGGCAACAGGAGGCTTGTCTTCCCCGACGCGACGGGGACGGTCATTACGACGGGCAACACAGACGATCTTGTCTTCAAGAGCATCGAGCTGCAAGGACTGGACATCCAGAGTGAGGTTAACTTCGGGAGCCCGGGCTCTCCCACCTTCTCCTACCTCAACCTGGGGAACACGTCCCGGATCAGTGGCTGTTTCAACTTTCTCATCAACGAGAACGACGCCACCTACACTCAAGTCTGCACCATCCCAGCCACCCAACCGCGCAACATCACCTTTCCTGACGTCTCTGGGACTGTCCTGACCACTGGGAACCTGTTGGGTCTGCCCAACATTCGCATTCCCAACGAGCAGCTCTACGTAGGAGGAGACGTCAATCTCCAGGGCAACATTTCCTTGGGCTCAGCTTCCAGCTACTCCTCGCTCGAGTTCTTCTCCTGGGTCGATGGTGACGTCAGCATGCGATTCAGCAACCCGGACTCCGGCCCGGCTCGGGTCCAGCTGACCGTTCCGCACCTGTTTGGTGTCGACATCGCTCTTCGAGACTACCTGAGCACGGACGCGCCGTCACTGCCGGTTGGAGTGAAGGGGAAGGTGGCGTTCAGGTACTAGAGATCAGTTTCTCGCTCCCTCCTCCTCCACCGCCACCACCTCCTCACCTTCACCCTCACCCTCATCCTCATCCTCATACTCATCCTCATCCTCATCCTAACTTTCTCGCTCATGGTTGTCTGACTGGTTGTCTCAGAGTGCCTGTGGAAGGAACGCAGCAGATCGATCAGACTGTCTGCCGGAATGTACTCTCATCTCTCTCTATCTCAGACTACCATGAACTCGGTTACTACGCGATCCGCCAAGGCTTCGTAGCTCGGACTAAGATGGCTGGCCTGCTGTACGCTCGCGCTATCATCCAGTACAACCGCACTCTCTACCAGTGCCTGGACGTGTCGGGACGTCAACTCTGCAGTTCCTACGACGTTGACACTTGCACATGCAATGGGGCAGGGCAGCAGACGTCCAACGAATCCGTCGGGTTTGTCAAGGACGTGAGTAGTCTAGCTTGTCAAGCGTACCAGCCCGGCCTGACTTGTTCCCCCCTCAGGTGGCTGTCAACTCAACCTCCTTTGCTTGCAACGGCATCCTGGGATCCAAGGATTGCTCCACCGACACGCCTCCCTGCCTATCTCCTCTCGACCCTTTCTGCGCATACGATGGCAACGCCTCCACCTTCTTCTCCCTCCAGACCTCCACAGCCAGCGGTACCGCAGTGACTGCCAGCTCTGACGTGTTCGATTTGACAGCCCTGGCGCTCCCAGCTGACCTCCAGCTGACAGTCACCCAGTGCATGCTGGGGATGGACTTCGTGAGCCCCACTGTTATCTCGCTGGTCCGTATCCTTCCCAGAAGCTCTTTCTCTGCCAGCCTCGTCGGCGCCGTCGTACAAGGGCTCAACACCTCCAACAAGGTCTGGGAGGACGTCCTGGTAGTCAAGGACGTGCTGCCAGAAGGCGTCTGGACCAGCTTCGTCGTCTCCACCGGACACTCCTACGACTCCATGCGGTTCCTTGGCCCTCAGCTCTCCCCTGCTGCAGCAAGCCTGTGCGACCTGGCGGAGGTGGAGTGGCATCAGGGGAAAATAACGCAGCTTCTCTCGCCCATCTTCAGCGGCGAGCGCTCCTACTTCGTGGACGAGTCGAAGATCGTGGCGGACCCGACGGCAGCCGAGGCGTTCAAGTGCGCGGAGCAGGGGTGGTACCCGGACAAGCAGCAGGACACGTTCCTGGCAGAGCTGGTGGTGCCGGATGTGACGGGAACACTTATCACCACAGGGAACCTCGAGGACATTAGCAAGGAGTCAGCGTTCAGCAGCTTGGCAGTGCAGCAAAAGCTGCTGGTCATGGGAAACTCGTCCATCGGTCAGCCCGGGTCCAAGGTCGAGCTGCAGGGCTTTGCGGTCGGGCAGTTCCCCCTGGCCTTCGTGCACAAGGACAGGACGTCGTCGACTCTCACCCTCCACCTCCCGGAGCCGTCCTCCTCAGCTATCGTCCACCTGCCGGACTCCAGTGGGTCGATCGTCACAGCTGGGACGTTGCCTGAGGTATTTGAGGAGGTGTCGGTGCTGGGGGTGACGTCCCTGGACGGGGAGACGAGGATCGGGGGAAATTTGCTGATAGGAGATCCGCGGACTGCGAGCTCCGTCAGGTTCAACGTTCAGTTCCTCGGCTCCGTCCCCTTGACCTTCTCCGACCGATCCTGGCCGGACAACGTCCTCTCCATAGGGGTTGAGAGCCCGACGGAGGACCGGCTGCTCACTCTCCCTGACGTCAGCGGGACTGTCCTCACCACCGGCAACATGCTCAACGTTCTCGAGACCACTTCCTTCATCGGGCAGGCGAGCTTCTACAAAGGCGCCTCCTTCACAAACGATGACGTCATCTTTGGCACGCCGGGAGCCGCCAGCTTGTTGGAGGTCAACGCCGTTCTGACTGGTTCCTCCCCCCTCCGCTTCCCTGGAACCTCCCAGGGCGCCTCTAGCATCTCCCTGGGGGTCGAGGAGCCGTCGGGTAGCCACGTCATCACCCTGCCGGACGTGACCGGAACCATCTTGACCACCGGCAACTTCCCCGACGTCGTAGAGTCGCTCAACGTCATCGGGGAGGCGAACTTGCTGGGCAAGCTCGTGTTTGCGGGGAGCCTGATCACCATAGGCAGCCCGGATCGAGCTGGGAAGGTGGAGGTGAGATCGGTGATCCACGGAAGGTTCCCCTTGCGGTTCTCCGAGGGGATAGCCAATGTATCCTCAGGAAGCACGGTGTTCGAGATCTCCCCCCCGACAGGCCAGAACATTATCTCGTTCCCCGACGTGTCCGGTACCGTCATCACCACTGGCAACCTGCCGTCTAGCATCGTCTTCCCGGAGGAGGAGTACGTTATCAAGTGCAGTAGCCTCCTCGCCAATGCCACAACCGTCTCCCTGGGCGTCAACGCGGCCCCTGCCGCGCACACCGGGAGCTTCGTCTTTACCGACGGGAGCGTAGCGGGAGACAGCTCGCTTCCTCCCTTCAGCTCCAAGGCCGACGGATCCTTCAACGTGCGGGCAAGAGGAGGCATCAAGTTCGTGACTGGCTTCACCCCCTCTGGGAAGGAGCTGGGCGTCGTGCTGGAGCCGAGGAGCAGGTGAGGCGTGAGCTGGGGGGAGGGGGGGAGCAGGGACTGACCGTCGCATGCAGCTCGTGGTCTGTCCTTTCGGACAGGAACAGTAAGGAAGACATCCAACAAGTGAACCCCAGACTCGTCCTGCAGGTCCGCTGCCTGCCTGTCTCCTACCTCACCTCCCTTCCCGCCCTGTTCCTGTTCCTGCTGCTCCTCTCCCTTCCAGCTCCCTCCATCCCTCCCTCTCCCCCTCCCTCCCAGCTCCCTCCCTCTCTCCCTCTCTCCCTACCCCCTTCCCTCCCTCCCTCTGCCATTCACTTTCTCGCAGAAACTTGTGAAGGAGGTTCCTATCAGCACTTGGTCATACCAAGGCGATGATGTGAGTTCAGGGAGAGCTGTTCATGATGGAAGTGATGGAGAGGAGCTGAACAGCACAGGAGTAGAGTATCAGAAACGTGGAGGAAGAGGAGAGGGAGAGAGGAAGGATCGGGGCGAAGGAGGAGGAGACGGGTCTTGGAGAAGGAGTCGACGGGGGAGGGAGGAGGTTGACCGAGCCTCATCAGGTTCGCCACATGGGGCCGATGGCTCAAGATTTCTTCATGGCGTTTGGACTCGGCGAGGATCCGACGAGAATCTCAAGCGTGGATATCGACGGGGTGAGGAAGAGGAAGAGAAGAGAGACGGGAGGGAGAGGGAGGAAGGACACAGGATAAGACGGAGAGAGAGGAACGACACAGGATAAGAGGGAGGGGGAGGAAGGACGACAGCGACTGGAGCAAGAATGGAGTAGACGAAGGGTGACTTGAAGCGAGCGAAAGAGGAAGCGAGATGGATGAGAGGATAAAGGGGAGGAAACAACCAAAGGCAGGGAGAAACCTGGAGCAGGCATGGATCAGAGGAGGATAGAGACACAGAAAACGAGTGACAGAGGAGGAGGACAAGAAGGAGGCAGGGGAGGAGGAGGGGGCAGGGGGCAGGGGGCAGGGGGCAGGGGGCAGGGGGCAGGGGGCATGGGGCAGGGGAGGAGGAGGAGGAGTAGGCGTCGGCAGGGGGCTAACTTTGAGTTCCTCACCTGCTCAGGTTGCGCTGGCATCGCTGCATGGGCTGAATGCGATCCAAGAGGAAGTGAAGGAGAACGTGAAGGAGGCGAGGAGAGCCATCGAGGTAAGAGGAGTGACCGAGCTGAAGCCCAGCTGACGACCTGAAGCAGCTGCGAAAGCAGCGCATGACTTCCATGGATGAACTTCTCCTTCACAACGTGAGGAGCAGCGAGGGAGGGGGGAGGAAGGGGAGATGGAGAGCGTAAGGGAGGGGAAGGGAAGGGAAGAGAAGGGTGTTAGACGGTGAGGAGGACAAGGGAATGGAATGGGGAGGATAGAGGTCGTGAGAGGGGGAGGGGAAGGGGCGGGGCGGGTGTTTGTGCCGCTGACAACACAGACAGGAGGAGCTGGCGAGGAGAAACGAGGAGCTGATGAGAAGCCTGCTGGGGAGGGTGCAGGGCAGAAGGTAGCATAGAGAGTTATTGTTTACTAGCAGGTGATTGTATTCTTTCGGTCTAACAAAACCATGTAAGACAAGCCCGATGATCGTCCTCCCCTTTAGGTCCCCTGCTCACCCTCCCTCGCTGTTCTTCTGCTCGCCAGCCCCTCATCGGCAACAGCTGCCGTGAGGGAGTTGAAGCGAGATGGTGGGAAAAGAGAGAGGAAGGAAGGAGACTGGGAGAACGACGAGCAAGCGAGGAGGGACAAGGAATTCTCGTACGTTTATAGAGGTCAGAGGTAGAGGTACAACTTCAAGATAGAGGATGAGGGTCCCGTGGGATCCGCTTAAGCGGTCGGGGATGCGGCACTTCCTCCGTTCTTGCAGAAGGCGTCGATCTTCTCCATAATCATGTGGAGGATGTAGATTGCTCGCTCGGCAGGAGTGGCGACGATCTCGTACTCCGCGTGCTCGTTCTTGTACTCCTCGTCCGAGTTGATCTTCTTGCCATTGAGCGCCTGGCGCTGCAGGTCCTTGGCGTCCGCTCGCTGCTTCGCCTTGTCCGCAGCGTTGGACAGGTCCACGACCTCCTTCTCGTACTCCACCACCTTGTCCTTGTGCTGCTCGAGCTCGGTCTGAGTCTCCTGATACGCCTTGTCGATGACTTCCTCGCGGGTGGCGAGATCCGCCAGCATGGCCTCCAGCAGCTTCCTCACCTCGTCGGTCTCCGCAAAGTTTGCAAGCTTCTGCTGGAGCATCGTGACCTGCTTGACGTGCAGGGGCCCTCCCAGGGTCGCACGCTGCTTCAGCTGAGCAATCTTGGAGCGGAGCTGCTTCATGGCGACATCCTGGGCGCGCTTCTGAGCGGTGTAGCCACCAGCTTCCTTGCTTCTCTGCAGCGAACGAGCAAGTCAGAAGGAAGGAGGAGGAAGGTGGAGGACAAGAGACTCACATCATCTAGAGGCTGGTCCTCAAGAACGCCGAGGATGCGGAGAATCTCCTTGAGAAGCTCCCTGGCAGAGCGGGTAAGCACAGAGGAGGCAGGAATGCGCATGAGCAAAGACTGACCTCTCAGATTCAATATCAGCCTTCTCTGCGTTGTAGGACTTTGTCATGGTAGTGAGACGTTCCTCAGTCTGCTTCACAGTTGCCTTCCACTTCTCCAGCTCGGCACGAGCAAACTGTGCCCCGTCCTTGGCCTCCTTCTCCTTCTCTACCTCAAGACGGTAAGCGCTCTCACCATCCAGCCAAGCCTTGAGCGCCTCCTGCTGGGCAACGTAGGCGGCATGGTCGGTCTGATTTCTCACGATGGACTCGTCCTTGAGCTTGTTGAGAAGCTGGTTGAACTTCTGGAAGATGAAGTCCTTCTTTTCGCAGAGCTTTCCGGATTCCTCCAGAGCTGTCTCCACATTCCCAGGCAAGAACGCCAACATCTGCGTGCTCGTCTGGCTCGAGCGGTCGAAGTTCACAATCTGGTTGCTCTTCCAGTTGTCCAAGATCGTCGAGAGCTGCGCAAAAGACGCCGAGGGCGCCGCCTTGATCAGCCTGGCAGCAAGCGCGATGTCCATGCGGCCCTTGGCAGCAGCAGTAGCCTTGGTCATACCCAGGAGGGATCGACGGGCGGGAGCCGGTTGCTTGGAGAACATGAGCATGACCGCAGCGCAAAGAGCGACGGCAACAAGAGCCGATGCCACGATGGCGCGCCTGACATTGGATCGCCGGCGGGTGTCCTGCCCCTGATCGACATAGCAGACATAGGAAGGGATTTCAGTCCCGTGAGAACTCGCTTGACCGATCGCCATGAGAACGAGACCTGGGCACATAGAAAACAGTCATGCATGGAAGCACTTCATCGTGATGGAACACACAGAATACTAGTTGTATGCATAAACATGAGCAATCACTCTAACAGATGCTTCAGAACAACAACTGATTGATAGGTTCTTCCTGTCAGGTTCCGGGACACAGCAGCTATGTATGACTACCTCAAAATTTAGAGTTTCACAGTTCGCTGCTTGAAGATCAGCACTACGTGTTTCATACTCTCTAGAGCAGATGATTCGAAACAACCTCTAGAATATAAGCATTGAGATTTACAAAGCTCTTGTTCCAACGTAAACTACCGATTTGATGTCCCTGCTGCACTTCAAGATAAATCTCTTCTTCTTTCCAATGTACTGCTCATCTCCTCTCACCCATGCTTCCTTGCTATCCTTTCAGCCTTCTCTCTTCTCGCTTCTCTCTCTTTCTTCTCTCTCTTCTCTCTCCTCTCTCTCTTCTCTCTCTTCTCTCTCTTCTCTCTCTCTTCTCTCCTTCTTCATCCAATTTTCCTCTGCCATCGCCCATCACCAGAGGCGGCTGGTTTCTATTTCGGGAATCACTCATTATCACCCCACCCCACCCTTGTACGCACAGCACGTACCCCTATCCCCCTCCAATAATTACCCACCCATGTCGACCTACCCCCATATCCATGAAAGGCCATTTCTCACCCCCTCTGCACACAGTGGTCAGATCCCCATGTAATGTACCCCTACCCACTGTTATGTTTTGAGACAGGTACAAATGACAGAAAAGTACCCACCACTTTGATATGTTCTATTTTTGATTGGGACTTGTACCCTGGTCAGATAACCCCCCCGTTCGATGACCCTGCCATGATCCAGGTACCCACCCCCTAAAGCGTGAACTTTTCACTACGGGAAGTCAGTCCAGTAGGAAGTAAACTTTCGGTTCCCAGTCACCAAGTTCAGTATCTAGGGCCGGCCCGCCCGTACACCCGCCGGGTCCGATCTACACTGGCCGCTGTGGCAAGGCGCCGGGTAGTTTTGCAGTGGCAGCCCGGCTGCTTCAGAGTCAATTATAGACTACGCCGTACGGTAGGCTTCAGAGTCAGGCTGTTGCACGTCACCGGTCGTGATACAAACTCGATGATGGTACTTTCCGAACACCTTCACTGATTTCCGACTCGCCGTTTCACCGTCAGTCCGTGGCACAGAACTTGGCAAGTTGTGACTCGAATATTTCCGGACTCAGGCTCACGTCCAGTGTCCACGGATCTTCCCGGAACTCGCGGCTCATGGTCAGGCACGGTGACTCGGACCGTAAAGACAATGCTCAGCCGCCCTTTGACATGGCATTTTTCTCTTTGCCACTGGCTACTCAAACAAACTTGTTACGGTTAAGTCAAAAATCTTCCAAAACGGCGAGAAGAGAAAAGACAGCGAGAACCAAACCTATTCCTTCCAACTGCTGTCCCCCAAACTTAACTGATACCTTCACTTAACTGCGCGCAGGACAATTCCCCCGCGCCATGCCAGCGCCCGGCCCGGGCCCGGTACCGGCCGGGGGAGAGGGCCACCGGCACCCGGGCCTCCGGCGCGGCGCGTTGAACTCACCAGGCCGTAGCACTGCCGCATCTGTGCGGAATGCGCCATGGAGGGAGAGGAAGGGAGAGGGGAAGGGAGAGGGGAAGGGAGAGGGGAAGGGAGAGAGGAAGGGAGAGGGGAAGGGAGAGGGGAAGGGAGAGGGAAAGGGAGAGAGGAATGGAGAGGGGAAAGGAGGATGTTAAGGCAGACTTGACTTGGATGTGATGGGGTTGGAGGTCAACAGCATAGACTCGCTCTCCTCCTTCGGCCTATTCGATGGGACACACAAAATGTGGAGGCGCGAGATTAGTTCAGCCCTCCTGGCAACTCCCTACGTCCTCTACGAGGATCCCTGCAAGGTTCTCACTCCTCAACACGACGATCCTACCCTATTCTTTCCTCCTCGTCTGATCCTCCCCCATACCTTCCTCGATGATTCCCTTCGTCCTTCCTCGTCCCTCCTCCCCTACAGACCTGACGGCGGTCTCACGCAGGCAGGCAACGATGGCGAGTTCTTCCTCTGGCCTGCAGCACTGGTGAGCCCTGCATGCTCCTGTACTTCGCACCCGTAAAGCCTCGGGGCAGACGCTCATGAACTACGTCGAGACGCATCGCACCTCCTTCTCCCACCGTAACGTCCTCGAGCTTGGATCTAGCCATGGGCTCGGCGCCATGGCGGCTTCACGTGCGGGAGCATCGCGAGTTGTGGCGACAGACAGGGCCTCCTCCTTGTGGTACCTCGCTCAGAACGTCTCAGCAAACCCGGACGTGTTGGTCGAGATCCGGTCACACGAGTGGGGGGAGGAAGAGGAGGAGTTGTCAAGAGAGCGTTGGAGCTCTATCATCGGATCTGACCTCACGTTCTTCCTGCCATCCTTCTCCCTTCTGCTCGCAAGTCTGCTGCAGCTCTGTGACGACAGGACGGAAGTACTGCTGTTCCACGACGACGATTCGATCCCGGGGGGATGGAGGTGACGACGGAGGAGGAGGAGGAGGAGGAGGAGGAGGAGGAGGAGGAGGAGGAGGAGGA